TGACCAACCACACTATTACAACTAACTCACTATTACGACTAACCACACTATTATGACTAACCACACTATTACGACTAACCACACTATTATGACCAACCACACTATTACGACTAACTCACTATTACGACCAACCACACTATTACGACCAACCACAATATTACGACTAACCACACTATTATGACCAACCACACTATTACGACTAACTCACTATTACGACCAACCACACTATTACGACCAACCACACTATTACAACTAACCACACTATTATGACCAACCACACTATTACGACTAACTCACTATTACGACTAACCACACTATTACAACTAACCACACTATTACGACCAACCACACTATTACGACCAACCACACTAATATGACCAACCACACTATTATGACTAACTCACTATTACAACTAACCACACTATTACGACCAACCACACTATTACAACCAACCACACTATTACGACTAACCACACAATTATGACCAACCACACTATTATGACCAACCACACTATTACGACTAACCACACTATTACGACTAACCATACTAATACGACCAACCACACTATTACGACTAACCACACTATTATGACCAACCACACTATTACAACCAACCACACTATTATGACTAACCACACTATTATGACCAACCACACTATTACGACTAACTCACTATTACGACTAACCACACTATTACGACTAACCACACTATTACGACTAACCACACTATTATGACCAACCACAATATTACGACTAACCACACTATTATGACCAATCACACTAATACGACCAACCACACTATTACGACTAACCACACTATTACGACCAACCACACTTACGACAAACCACACTATTACGACTAACCACACTATTACGACTAACCACACTATTACGACCAACCACACTATTACGACCAACCACACTATTACGACCATACACACTATTATGACCAACCATACTAATACGAGCAACCACACTATTATGACCAACCACACTAATACGGCCAACCACACTATTACAACCAACCACACTATTATGACCAACCACACTAATACGGCCAACCACACTATTATGACCAACCACACTATTATGACCAAGCACACTAATACGACCAACCACACTAATACGACCAACCACACTATTATGACCAACCACACTAATACGACCAACCATACTAATACGAGCAACCACACTATTGCGACTAACCACACTATTACGACCAACCACACTATTATGACCAACCACACTATTACGACCAACCACACTATTATGACCAACCACACTATTACGACCAACCACACTATTACGACCAACCACACTATTATGACCAACCACACTATTACGACCAACCACACTATTATGACTAACCACAGTATTATGACTAACCACACTATTACGACCAACCACACTATTACGACCAGCCACACTATTATGACTAACCACACTATTATGACTAACCACACTATTACGACTAACCACACTATTACGACTAACCACACTATTACGACTAACCACACTAATACGAGCAACCACACTATTATGACCAACCACACTAATACGGCCAACCACACTATTATGACCAACCACACTATTATGACCAAGCACACTAATACGACCAACCACACTAATACGACCAACCATACTAATACGAGCAACCACACTATTGCGACTAACCACACTATTACGACCAACCACACTATTATGACCAACCACACTATTATGACCAACCACACTATTACGACCAACCACACTATTATGACTAACCACACTATTACGACCAACCACACTATTACGACTAACCACACTATTACGACTAACCACACTGTTACGACCAACCACACTATTGCTGCATAGAATAACACTAGTCATATTTATTTATGACTGTAGTTAACTATCCACATACAAGGAATGCGATTTTGTTAATTATATACACATTATTCATAAACTTGTTAATAATCAATTCGAAAGTTTCCCAAATATTAAAGGCATCGAAATATATGCTATGTTGACTTGTTGGTGTCATTTTAATGGCTTCACAGTAAATAATGACAATGTATTGAGAAGCATCATCTAAAATTTAATTTAAGTAATTCTCTTTTGATAGTCGTATATTAAATTTCGCGTTCAATGTGTGTTATTGGTTTGCTGTAATCCTTAAAAACAAGTTATTAAATGACCGATTTTTAGAACTCATACCCATTTGAACATTGCTACTTGAGATTAGCGTTCTGGATTTTAAGAAGAAAATTGTCAATCTGATCACATTAAAAATAGCGCTTCTTACTATCTGAGAACATGAAAAACTTTCTTTCTTTTCGTACAACTAACGTTTAGTGAGAGTGTGATAACGCGGACGCACTCTTTGCGCACAGTCCGCGCGTTGAACTCCGCGCTTGGACCGCGCGCTCAGACCGCGCAGCATGCTGTCCAAGCTGACACGTATTATATTCGTGTCATTCAAGAATCAGAGGTAAAAATTTGTATTGTATGTTGTATACCACCACCCCCCGCCCCTCACGAGATTATTGCCACTTGTCGTGAACGGCGTCGATTGGCCGCGTAGTGGTTGTTATTAAACACCCATTTGAGTCCGCAGAAGGGGGCATAGACGTGTTACTACTATCCATCCTGTGATAAAATAACCTTAAAAAGCTGTCCTTCCCGAGAATTGGCTTTGGTGACACGATCCAATATATTGAAGGGGCGGTCGTCACGCAGGGCGTGTTCGTGAGTCCCATATCGAACAGTCGCTACTGCCAACTCCCTTAATCACCAAGTTTTACCGAGCTATGTAGCGTACCAAAATATGTGGTTATAATTTCACTTCTTTAATAATATTTGGTTATTTTCACTTTGTTTTGACATTCACGGACTGTTCAAGTGAAACAAATAAATACTATTGTAGTTTTAAAAAATAAGAAAATAACCGTAATTACATAAATAACAGAGATTCGCATGAGTGACGCGTAACTACTGATTCGGAAGTTGTTTCTGGTTTGCGTTTACGAGTTTGGCGGAAGTAAGCCTACTAAGACCCGAGAATTGCAACTACATGTGAACATGTCACACTTCGAGAATCTTCGGAATATTAAGAGTGTGTTTGACGTCATCGTCACGGATTGCTGGAAAATTGCAATTTTAGTAGGTTTTCGTATTTCCGGTCACAGACGGAAGTTTAGTGATTGGCTACATTGATTGGTTGTTAACCTAGAAGGACCTCTTTTAGTTCCATTTACCATACTAAGTGGTATGTGTATTGACGAATGTATCACAGTCGGGTGAATGCACGACAGTGCGATATCTGTGAATATATTCTCAAAATATAAACAAATAATAATATGTTGTGTTAAAAATATTGAATTCAAGCGACAACATACTTGCCTCGTATCAGCACATTACTGAAAATTTCACAAAAACAAGCATTACTTGAACAGAACATATCCAATTTACAGATGTCAGTGGATGTCCTCAGTGCAAGAAATGATAAATGACACGAATTTCTCATCAGATTAGCAGAAAAAATTGTTAGCAATAAAATTAATGAAAGACAATCACAACAATATTAAACACATAAATATCAGGAGAACATATAAACGGGAAAGCAAAAACTGAGGATATTGATATGCTATGAAAAATAGATTCTTATAGATTCTTATAAATAGACATCTTCAACCTCTATGGTGTGTTTTTTCTAATATTCATTCATTTGCTAAAACATCGTGATATTGTTTTCCGTTTTCAAACACACTAATGATGTTGTCAAAAACGTAAGTGATTTTTATTAGTGCCAAAACACTGTTTTATCGAACGAATACTCAGATTTATGCTACAAAGACAGCTTTTTTTAGATTCGTGACGCATTCACCAATACTTAGTCTATAAAACAACAATAACACATTTTTGTTCACATTTCGTCTTATACTTGTAAGCGGCCACTTTGAACCAAATTAAGTTCGTAAATTTGTATTTATCAACCATAACTGATTTCTGTTGTATTTCACTACTTTGACCCTTTCCTTGAAGTAGTAATTCATTCATTTAAGAAAATCGGAGCAAGATTTGGCGGAGTTTCAACAATTTTCCAAGTGGCTGCCAAGGGCTTCCCCAATATTTCAGACTCGCCCATTACGTATTAGGAGACACAGGCTGCCGCAATAAAATGTTTTCTGGATTAGCATCAGTATTTAAACTGTCTGAATTCGAAATAAAATTTTGATAACAGTAATAATATGTAGTATTTTGTCCTGCAAAAATCAAATGAATATACCTTCCTATGAATGGTAGGTACCGTCCCACGCCATGGAAATTTCCTCATTCAGAAGGAAATGTTAATTAGATGCTAATTTTTCACGTGAACAGTGTGGACGTTGACCAATCAGCGTTGAACGTTGATCTAATTTAAATAGATAACGCGTGATCATTCATGTTCAGTTTCCACTGTCTCTCTTTCTAGACGCTACGGGCCGGTATCCACACATATCTGTACAACTATCCGTCAGATCTTGCATCAAATCTTCAGCAAAATGAGCGAAGGACGTGTTATCAATTTTGCTGCTGGCCCAGCCAAGCTTCCTGAAGCTGTAAGTGTGAAATATATATTTATTTTCTGTTAATATTGCATTGCAGACGGAATATTCTGTGTCGGTCTGATCTGCAGCCCGTTGACCCAGCCACGGCTTCGGTCGGCCTTGTGGCACTGCGTTAAAGCGCGTACTAGCTGAATACCAACATATGATCGGTTGTAGATTGTTGGTAAATATCGATCGAGTTATATAAACTCGCAGATAAATACACAATTCCAGCATATATTCTTGTTAGATTCAAAATTAAATTAAAATGACCGCTTGAATTTATTTAGTCTAATACTAGTACTTTAGAATGAGCAGGTGTTAATAGTTTGCGACCTCCAATCAGCTGTTAAAAGACGCGCCTTTTTTGTGACCCATCTCTACTTGGTCAACGTAAACGCATGTCTGCTTTGGTTACTTGCCCAACAAACATGACACACTGCATCTTGCATATTTTTTTTTTCAAAAATCGAGACTCGATAGTCATGGTGTAGGCAACTGCAAATTTGCTGAATAATCGTGACACTGTACAGCACAAATGTTTGTTATTGTCGTGTTGTCCAGCACCACCACCCTATTATTATTATAGTGAATTAATCCTTTTTCTATGACTTAAACGTGAAATATACAAATTATGCCTTTTTGTTTACTGTTGATATGAGCTCGTGTACTGTAGTAGTTATTTATAAATTCCATATTTCACTTATAATATGGATTTTATTAAAACGTACTCTTAAAAACCTGATAATTAATTAGTAGTTAATTAGTTGATTTATTAATTATCATGTATTAGGTAAAATTGATACTAAGTATCACATTTTGGATACTCTTAGTAATTAAAAACACTGAATATTTCTGTTTCTTTTGGTATTGCATCATCCCCATTACAGCAGTATACAGGTAGTATAGCTAGCATATTACCCCCCCCCCCCCCACTCGATGTTGTAAAAACAATTCTGTGCTGCCTTCCATGTTTGAAATTATTTTGCTAGAAAAATTCACCATTGTGAAATTTGGAGTAGAAGAAAAATTATTGAAAATATTTCACAATATATTGAGTTTAATTATTGTCAGTATACATGTACAGAATGCCATTGCATTTCACAGCTTTTTATTTCATGTAGATTAGCCAATTTTTTGCAAATTGTGAAATTCTATCTACAAAAATAATATCACCAGAAAAAAATTCACTATTACTAACTGCATATGGTAGTGATCCTTACTAATTTTTTAATTAACCGTAATTAAAGTGTGGTATGTTGGATAAAATAAAATAAAAAGCCTACCTGCATACCCAATATATGTCTTGGCTTTATCACAGTGATAATGCAGAATGACATGCACCCACATCACTGATACAGGCTGGCATTAGTTTTATTTGTATAATCTAAAAATGTAGGATTTAATACAGCTCCAATAAGTAGTAATGTTTTTTCACAATCGTGGAATATTATTTTATGGAACAGATTTCCTAGTATTTATAATATTTTTGGTGCAGTTATTTTTGTAGAAGCCATCAATATGTTTATTTTGGATTTTAAATCTTGTTTTAAAAAATATATAATTTAATTCAGATTTATCTATGTACATGGGGAATTAACTTTTCAAAAGGTTTTAGGTTCCACTCTCCTATATGGTTTCAGGGGTTCATGAAAAATGGAAACTAGCGTCATAAGACATTTAGAATTATTTGTCGTAGTTTGGATGTAAAACAAGAAATTGTGTAGTGGGAAAATCAGTTTATCAACAGAAATCATACATCTGCTAAGGAGTGAAAAATGGAAAACTAATAATAAACCAATAAATACTTTACATTTTTATTTACTTCAAGTAGCAAATCAGTGTCTAATCTGATCCTAAGTTTTAATTTGTAGATCCTAATATAACATGCTGGTAGCATAGCTCTAACCCATCATGGAGTTTCTGGGTTTCTACTGAAAATAAACTATAGTTTTAGTCAACTAATACTAAATAGTGTCTTTGCCAATTTAAACTGGTTTAGTCACTTTACAAATGTTATAAAATGAAAAAAACATGAATTTGTCAGGAAAATCAAGAATTGAAATGTGCCACTGTAATAAACATTTCTGTGGATGAATCTATTTTAAAGAATAATTCACTGTTTAGAATAACTTGGTGGCAAAAGTGACATTTATTGTAGTCAAATCAAAATTCACCATTGTCGACTGGCGTTACGAAAAGCCTAGCATTTACCTCAGTGTCCTTTAAAATAGTTTTTCTCTATGCATGTCACCTTGAAAGTGGGTGCTCTTAACTTAGAAATTCAAGAATTTCTGTTGGTTGCCACTTAATTAAGGCATGCTTTTAGTGGATATCCATGATTTTAAGTGCAAATCTATATTAATATTGACAATAAATGTCAACTTCATATGTAATGTCATGATCTCCATAATGATTCTCCAGCTTTGAACTATTGTATGGGGAAAATATTCATTTTTAGTGAATTTGAGGTTGCAGGATACTCACTGAGTTTTAAATTCTCTGGTTTGTGAAAGAAACGATACATTCTATTGTCAACTTTGCATATTCATTGGATTTTAATTTAGTAAATTTAGCTATCAGCAAAATAAGAGAAAATAATTCCAGTGAATAATTAATTAAGCTTTACACAATGTGCAGTTTTATCTCATTCAAGAAGAGTTTTAGTTGGTAGAAAACATTTTTTTTTTCATATAAATTATTTGAGAACTGGGGATTGTAGTATATGAACAATCAATGTACAGTGTATAGGAAATTTCCAACACATACAACTAATGATGCTGTAGTGAAAAGTATAGGAAATTTCCACCACACGTGGTGACTGTCACTGTTTGTCCTTTATATGACCCAAGTCTCCGCCTTGTAACCAGGGTGTCTGTTACCAAGCCCTGTCTATTGTCTTGTGTGTAGAGTGATAGTATGAATGTGCTCTCAGCACAATACATGTATTGACGTGGTGGTTTTTTCCCATCGAGTTTCTTTTAAAATCAGGTTAAAATGATAAGTTTTTATAATTGCAATACTGTAAAATACTTTATTTTCGCTGAAGTAAAGATTCAGTAAAAATAAAATCCAGCGAATATACCTTTTTTCCTATATTTTACATTCAACCCGCCAAAAATCAGTGAAAATAAATTTAATACAAAACGCTCAAAAATCTTTTCAGTGAAAATTAATTCCAGCTAAAATAAAGTATTTCACAGTAACTCAAATGTTATTTTTGGCTTAATTTTGATGTAAGTGGTCAATAAGAAACTGCAATAATTGGTATTTCCCTTCAGATGGTTTTGTCAAATTTCTATCACAGTAAAAAGTTTGTGTCTTGTTTGGCATGATTGTTATGTAAAAGATTTCTATTGGCACACATAGGCCAATTGTTTAATGCATCGTTAAAACATGTACTTTGTAAGCAGTGATCACCCCACTCATGCTTTATCTAGTGATCACAACTCCCTATCCATACTATTTTATTTGCATAGCTCCCCTAATCAATCACATTACTGTGTTTAGAAAAGCTCCCTGCATTAACCCTTTGAGCATCCAAGTTAACTAACACTGTCCACAAAATAGTTTCATTTATACACTGTCTTTTCTCACATGAATGTTGTAAAAATTACAAATTTTTTTGATCAAAAACTAGAAGCCAATTAAAAATGAATTCAGTTAACAGGGATTTTCTCTAGAAAAAATGAACTGTGCCCCTGTTCCCAGTTTAGAAAAACCCTGGTTAAAATAACAGAAAATTTGAAAAAATTTATCCAAATTTGAGCAGGAAAGAATATTGTCACTCAAAGGGTTAAATTGACATTGGTAATATTGCAATGGTGTATTTACTATTACTAGACTAGACTAGTCTAGACTAGACTAGACTTTCTTTGGGTCAAAATAAGTAATTTCCCAATTTTTTTTTCATACTTCTGTTGGAAATGCGCTACTAGAAGAGTAGATATGATGACCCTGGAATCGAAATTTTACAGCATGGCTATTTTCTTAGTTTCAACGTCCCTGTGTACACCTGTGATATTCTGCCATCCCTTAGGGGATAGAATTCTTACTATGCTACAACTGTATCACAATATAATATGTTGTGGTCAGCAGTGTTCAACAGTTTTGATTGCAGTATAATTAACATGGAATTAATGTATTCTCTATTTCAGGTGCTTCAAAGAGCTCAAAAAGAAATGTTGAATTATCAGAATACTGGTGTTAGTGTTATGGGTAAGTCATTGCGACATTTCCCAATCTTTGCAATGTAGTTAGCATTGTTATCAGCAGGGATGTGCCCACACCGGTCGCTAGCGACCGGCACTCAGAATTTCTGACCAGGACAAAAAGTTGGCGACCGGCACTATTGTATGTGTTTATGATACACACAGGATGTCAGCCACTGGACCATCTTTCTATTGTTCTTGTTGATTTTAACACACAACAAAACTTTAATGAAAGAAGACACTGCTGTTCAAAAATCAACGTACACGTGTGACATCGGCCTAATGTGTTTTTGTTTTAACCTCCGATTGACATTCTGTTAGTTTTAACAAACTAACCAGATCGGAATAAGTCATACACCAAGATAATGGAAGGGAAGACAACGATAAATAAACAGAAGAAGGGAGGATTACCATTGCAAGTTTAGTTGTGTGTGGGATTTGTCGAGTTGAACATAAACTTGCTCACTTCATCGGCAGCGATGCGTCAAGCTGTCGTTCGTTTAATCTGCACTTGCACTCGAGTGTAGTAAACTTCATTGATGTTTTTGGCTTCATGACTTGTTCATAAAATTAAATTCATAAGCTATATTCAGTCAGCGACACAAGGAATACTTATTTTTCACTATTAATGCGATTTACCTGCATTCCATTGGAAAAGAAAACAATTAAATTCTTGTTTCCACTTCGGCCGTAACAAACGGACGACATGCTTTAACAAAAAAAATGGCTGCCAGGTCAGCGGTCAATGTCTCAAAATACATATTTTAGACGTGATTGCGAAAATAAAGTGTATATATTTTTTCACTTTTATCGAGGCAGAGTAATTTTACATTGAAATATTTAAAATAAAAGTTAAAATAATTAAAGTAGTGAAATCGTAACTAGTAGAATGGAAAAATGAATATTAA